AGCCTCATCAGTCGACTTCACTGACTGCAGAGATAGGGTGACAGAATGCCACATACGATCGTGGATGCTCATCTTCTCTATGAGCAGGTACAGGAACATGCCAATAGGATTCTGCTGGCAGCATGCCTAGGAGCGTTGATGTGATTGTGAGGGGCGATATCTGCGAGAGGTAGATAGACTGCTGGGTGATACAGTATTGCTGCTATGCAGGGTTAAGCCCGGTGATAAGATCCAAGCTGTGGGAAGCATGATCTGTGTGCCTGACGTACCTGCGATGATGAAGCCCGGAGAGATGGCTACTGCAGTCAAGCGTGAACAGACGAAGCGGTACTACTGCCATCCTTGATGAAGGCTCCTTATGCACTGTCAAGGTTCGCGACTGAGATGTCGGCAGGCAATGAGGGAATCTCTGGGCTCAAGCAGCTTGGTGTCAGAGAGCTCACTCATAAGATATCATTCTTGGCCACGTAAAATCTGCCTATAGCCCCGCCCTGAGCCCAGCTGCCTCAGGTACGTCGAATCTGACAGTCAGTGGAAAGGAGGGGACTTGCGGACCCCAGAGGTAGCGAGTTGGGCCTCCTCGAGTGTTGACGGGGTCTTGGTGTAGGTTATGATGAGGGGCGGCGATGGAGGGGAATATCCGGAAATTCAGGAGGCTATGACGGTATTGTCCATCACCGTTTGAGTGATTTGGAGATCCTTATGGAGCAGGCTGAGCATCGAGACAGACTGAGAGAGATCTCGGAGCATGCCGACCCGTTTACTCGGCTAGCCAAGGCCATCGCCCCTGGTGTATGTGGGCAAGAGGACGTCAAGAAAGGCATCTTGCTGCAGCTCATTGGTAGTACTGCTGTTCTGCAGACTTCTGTTGTAGTGTGGGCATTCTCAGGTGGGGTGCCGAAGGTGACGAGGAAGGAAGGCATGAAACTCCGAGGGGACATCAACGTCTGCATCGTTGGTGATCCCAGTACAGCCAAGAGCCAATTCCTCAAGTAGTACGCGCCTTGATAAGTCGATGGGGATTTCGACATAGCTACCCAAACTCTCAGTGTATATTCATCCCATTGATACATTTATTTTGTTCAAAAATCCTATGATATTCACCGCGTGCGCCGAGAAATGATCTTTGCTTGAGAAGGACGCATGCACAGGAGTGAAAATGGCCCTCGGTCATGTACAGCAAGTACCTCATCTTTAGGTGGGTATCCGACTTTCTTCCCCGTGCGGTCTACGCTAGCGGCAAGGCTTCCACTGCCGCTGGTTTGACTGCAGGAGTTGCTCGCGATCCCGAGTCGAACGATGTGATCATCGAGCCTGGTGCTCTTATGCTCTCGGATAACGGTACTATGAGACTAGTGGCACAACGTGATCGATGAAGCCGTGCCTCAGGTGTCTGCTGTATAGATGAGTTTGACAAGATGGATGCAAAGGACCAGGTAGGAGGTAGCTGTCACTGTAGCCTTACTGCGTGTAGGTGGCTATTCATGAGGCTATGGAGCAGCAGACCATATCCATATCGAAGGCGGGCATACAGGCTACGATGAACGCTCGAGCCTCCATTCTGGCCGCCGCTAATCCAGTGAGTGAATCGAGTGCTGCTGAGGAAAGAGCACGTGCTTGTTAGAAGTGGGGTCGATACAATCTGGCCGCTGGTCTACAGCAAAATGTGGATATTTCTCAGCCGTTGATGTACCCACCGTCTCCCTCGAAGATGCTGCACTCTATCTCTCATATACAGGTCCCGATTCGACCTTTTCTATGTTCTTATTGATGCGCCCGACTTGGAGGACGATCGGCAGATAGCACAGCATCTGCTCAAGACGCATGTCAGAGGTTCCAGAGGTAGACTCGTCATTGCTGGTGTACTGTTCTATCATCCTCTTGAAGGGTCTGGCGAAAATGCTGACGTTACGGCGACCGATTTGAGGCTCTACATAAACGAAGCCCGCAAGATCCAGCCTAGAATCACAGAGCGTGCTCGAGTGCTCATCGTGAAGTACTATGTCAAGTTGCGAGAAGCTGAGAAGGTAGCCATATCACCTGTATCATGTGAAGTTGAGTTTGAACCTATGCCTGGTCAGGGTATGTTCAAGAGAGCGTACCGAGTCACAGTCCGCCAGTTGGAATCGCTGGTTCGACTTTCGGAAGCTGTGGCGCGAGTGTTCTGGTCTAAGGAGGTTAGTGGGCCATGCTAGTGATATGATAACACTGACCTTGCATGCAATAGGTAAAGGGAACTCATGTGGAGTTGGCGTATCAACTCGTTAGAGGAAGTATCAGGAAAATCGATCAGACTGATGTGAGATCCAGCTGTGCTCCTTGAAGTGTTTGACGCTCTGATGCTGCTCTAGGTTGAGATTGGTGATGATGGAGAAGCAGACGATGAAGAGTTGCCCGATCAGGATGGTGAGTGCATATTGAATCAACTCACTGAGTTTGGCATGCTGTTATTCAGGGGATGTGGATATGCAGGAGGCAGCCCCAAGGCCAAGGGCTCGACGCGAAGTGACAAGTCTTGTCTAATTTTCTGTCATCTGATTCTGTTTCAGCGTATCAGCTTTGCTGAGTATGAACAGATAGCTCGTTCGCTCGCCTGGTATTTGGACCACCGTGAGCAGCTGGGACAAACCACCACTGAGGAGGAGTTAAGCAATTGGTATCTCGAGCAGTTGGAGAGCCAGCTCCACTCGGAGGTGAGGACGGATACGCTGAGGATTCCGACAGATTTGCCTCCCTCCCTTATTTGCAGGAAGAAATGGACCGCTTCACTGCGATCGTTACGATGGTCATCAAAAGGCTCGTGGACGTCGATAAAATTCTGTGTGTAATTCGGGAGAGCCCCGATAAGGACAAGCCAGAGCAGAGGTGAGTACGAGTAAAATCGGCTCAGTGGTGATGTTCTGCTGCACTCAGGACTTTGACGAAGCACCCTAACTTCGTCGTAGGTGAGCACGTCAGTCAAATGATGGCTTCAGATGTTGCTCCCGCCGAGGTAAGGACGATGCCCCTTCTAAAATAGTGTATTGGCGTCGCTTCAGGGAGATTCAGCCTAAGCTGCGATAGAACCGCCGCCGCATGGTTTCAATTTGCACGGAATACCATAGTCGTATTGTGTTGTATTAGTAAAAATTAAGTGGAGACGATATTATGCGGAATGGCACACATTCTTATGAATACAAAAACCACCAAAATAACGCGTCCTAAATACAGCAAATACTCAGAACGGGTATCAGAGATTACATGTGGGAGAACTCTCCATGATTAATTTTTCGAGAGCAACGATGGGAATTTGCATGTAGGGAAGGTTTGCGCGCAATTTATTGTGTACCTCGTTCATCGGTATCATTTCATGTGCACTGTACCGGAACGATCGAGACATTGTAACATCGGAAAACATGGCCCATCATTTCGAGCGTAGACGCATTATAAAAGAAGGGCAACTTCCCTTGGGGAAGAGCTATATTTTTCTATCCTCTGCGCAGGAGAATGACCGACAATGAAGCATAGCCGACAAAGTCCAACTGGTATATGGCTACTCAGTCCAACTGTGAGTTCAAAGTCCAACGCCGACAACACGGCTTAGTTAGACTCGCATCGATGCGCATTAGCTCCCGAGGGATCAGTTTTAGCGTTTCAAATTGTTTACTTTCATCATGCCAATGAGTTTTGTCCATAGGGCGAGATAACCGGCGGGTGGGAATGGCTTGGGTTGAGTATTCAGTTAGCTCGGCCGAACTCTATTCGAATAAAAAATTGTCCCCTTAACGTCATCTCGCCGCGTCCCGACATCGAATGAATCGATGACATCGACCGAAAGAACTCAGCTCGATTAGTATCTATGAGCTCGTGAGCAATGATCGAACTACATGTGCACAGTGCAAGATTTCCAAGCACGAAGAAAGCCTTAGTCTAGTGGTCGACCTGTAGTATTAAGATGTCGTATGCGATCCTGATCGTCCAATATGGCATCACCGTTAACCTCATCTCACATGTACCATCAAACTCTCCACCTCTTTATTCAATCGCAACAGCCGTCGGTCGCACTCATGATCGACCGTCATTTCGCCAAAGGCGGGAGCATCATCTGGCCATCTACGCTGATAGTGGGCCGAATCTCTAGCAAGCTGACGCCCTTTCCGATACTGTCTGACTTCTTCACGAAGCTCGCGCAATTCCACGAGGGCTCGCTCGTGTTCCTCTTCGAGCTCTTTGTATCTGCCACGACGGGGGATACTGAGGCTCGTGGCTTTCGATCATTGATACGCCTTCACGAGCTCGCTGTGGGTCAGGCATTTGTGACTCCCTCGAAGGTCTCCAGGAATGCTACTTGCGGATAGATCGTTCACAGGTAGCCGTTCGATGATCTAACAAACAAGAGTTCATGAGCAGGCCGAGTTCGAGGACAGCCTACATTCGTGTGCGCCTGTCTTGTCGCATTCGAACTCTCGGGTCCAACATAAAACAGCGTACTGCTCGTTTGGGATTCACCTTCCGAATCTTGATCTGAGACCTACGATGGAAGATATGAGCAGCTAAATACACCTAGACAGGTCAGGGTGCAGGGTATCACCACAAAAGGTACCGAGAATGGTGTGAATCGGAAAATCCCAGATTTATCAGAGTATCCAAGCTTCGTCAGGTGAGTTCTAACCTGAAACCTCGGCCCGTAGTGGATACTGTTCATCGGATGGTAAGCATCGTGAGAAGCACCTCTCGCGTTATAACGAAAGAACCCTCCTCAATGCTGTGAGCTACTGCAACAACATGATCCATAGTGGCCCCCGTGAGCATATATCTGCTATTTAATTCTACCACCGATAACGGGGAATGGTCTCCACCTTGGAATGCCAGAAGAGGAGACGACGAAGCCACGTGCTGGACCACAGTGCATGCTGATAGATATACTGATGGTTCCCTTAAATGAACTGTTGCCCTCGTTCATCACACTCTGCCCGAATCTATCAGACCTCAACTGCATGTCGAGAGTCCACTTTGATAAACTCACCTGACCATTTCTTCAACGTGGTCATACATTCGCTGAGATCCGTTCGATAAAAACTCAACGGTGGAATCGCTGATCCCGCCAACAACGACAAAAATGAGTCCCACTGCTAGTGGCATCGTATGGAGCTCATGTCCTCGAGCCTAGATTGAACTGTTTCATACATCAAAAGTTCTCGCTATCGCAATGATATATCTGCCGACCTCTTGTTGGACGAAGCAGTAGAATTCGTTGACGGCATTAGCCATCGCCGACGCTCCCTCTTCGGATGAAGAAGATTCAGTGCTCGTGACCGTGATTAGCATGATCTGATCGAATACTGATGGGCTACGCTTCATGAGAAACCGTGGATTATGCATTTGGGCTATACTTATTTCAGAGTACTTATTGGCGAGTAACCTCAGCAGGGACTATGACATGTAGTGTAACACGTGTGCACATCTTAGGTGGCGCTCTTACTGCTCGCAGACATTCTCAACAGCATAGAATATAGCTCGAAGCCTTACGGATATCATTTGATGTAACTCGGATACGAACTCCTCACCGCGTTCCAAGCGGGAGCAAATAGATGTAGGCAACGATCGGCGCATGAGCTCAGTATTGATCTGTGCCTATGGTGGTATTTCCACTATCAACCGCGTCGCGGGCAGCTACCTCTGTGGCGGAGGCGGATAATTGATGAGAAGCAAACATACACTCGAAACGGGAGAGCAGCTGGTACTTGTTAAACGGCTTGTAAATGAAATCGTTTGCCCTGTATTCCCATCGGGATCGAGGTTGATATCTCTCAGCTCACTGTGCATCGATGGCTTGTCGGAGTACCTCATTACTCCTCCTCATAGATGTACACAGTATGAGCAGTCTGTTCGAGAACTTCTCACGGAGTTTCTTGATATACCTGGTGCCGTCGAAACTAAGGGTCACGACAATCCGTTCTGCTACTCGCAGCCCGCCCCGTTGCAACGTATATCCATATCGACTAGGACGAGGTCCGGAACCTGGCAAACGTTAATACCGACTCCACAGTGTTGGAACAGGCTCATCAAATGAATCGTCTGATAGGCCTTTTCCAAGACTTGTGATCCAGGCGACTACAATTCTGTGAGTCTCCAGCCATAAGTCGGCCGCGTTGGTCGTCGACGCTTGATGAAAGAACCTGTCCAGGGCACACTTTTAAGTGCTCGGTATCTAGGGTCCAACCATTTGTCATCGGCAGGCTCGGGCAAATTCTCGAGGATCATAAGAGTAGTTGGATCCTCGTCAATGAGTAAGATATGTCGAGCAGCTCCAAGATGATACGGTGTAGCCGACATTGTGCTTGGCGAAGTCGGGGCGGTCTGAATCGATTGCCTCCGAGGTCGTACCGTCTAATACGTATAATTCATCTTCAGGAGTCAGTCGAAGTTGGAGCTATTCTGGACAGTGTACGACACAGTGTCCACCCCCTCGGACTGCTAGAATACGGGCTCATCGCAATCAGACTGATCGCTCACCATCGGAATCCGCTTATTCCCGAGTGCCTTCTTCGCTTGAATCGACGCTGCTGCATCAGCATCCCGTCTATTGGTGGCCAAAGTGATGGTCACGCTTGTGCCTCGCCCTCGTCCTCGAAAATTGGTGCTTTGTGTTGGTGGCTGCTATTAGCTTACCGGCACTCGCGATATGGAACTTCCCACCGTGCGCGTTGACGATCCGTTCTACTAGGGCCAAACCGAGGCCTGGCTAATGCCACAATACACAAAGGCATCTACTGTAGAGCAATCTAACCTAAGCCTTGGAAGTGCCTCAATGCATGATCTTCTTCGCCTTGTTCGAAGGGATGTAGGATACGGGAGAGGTGTTCTCCGTCTATACCGCATCCCGTATCGGATATCTCGTGATAAGAAATGTTAGCAGAAATTTCTGACAGCATACCCTGAAAGCCGCGAATCGATCCGGAAATTCAGGGTCGATCATATCCTGTACGGGATCATGCGGATCGTCGAGGTCGGGGATGTGTACCTGTCATATTCGGCTGCAAGGTGAAGTTGACTCGATCTTCTATACGCGAATGGTCCCTTTGTCTGTGAACTTGCAAGCGTTACCAAGGAGATGACTCATAATCAACTTGAACTTTTCCGTATCGACCCAAACCACAGGCGGATGATCGACTTCAATTGGATAATCTTGGATCAATGTGACACCTGGCACCCGATAAAAACCTGGGAACATGAAACGATACTCAGTTGCCTTCTTTTAGCAGAGGCCGGCCATTCTTATCGCAGGCGTTTTTCTGTATATGAACAGCATCCTCGAGGGCATTATATAAGTCCACCGCTCGCGTTCTAGCAATGAAGCTCGATACGCGATGCTAAAATACGGGCCAGGACGGCCTACCTCAGGCGAATATCATTCGAGAGTAACCTTGACATCTCGGTCACGTCGTGGAAGACTTCCAGGAGCCTTTTTGCTGAGCCTAGTGGGGTCAAGTCGGCCGCATGGTAGGACACCGCCCTTGCCTATGATGAGCTCTAAGTGCCGCGTGCGTCCAGGATTGGATTCGTTCTCAACAAGCGCGCCAGCTAAACCTGAAGCAGCCACGGTCCGATTTCGATATGTCTAAAGGTCTGTGGTAACCTATGATGGCACTGATTGGTGTCCTCATTTCATGCGAGATATTTGCCAATAGAGTCTCCTTCCTAATTTCCATCTGTTTGCGTTCTGATATGTCTTTAAGGACGAATATTAAGAAAATTGGTTCAGCATAGTCACTCTCACCTGAAAATCGGAATACCTACTACTTTGAAGGCTCCAGATGATACTTTAGTCTAGGACCTAGCATGACCTACTTTCGCGTTTTTGTTTGAACACTTTCATTTCAAGGGTATGAGACCATGAAAATGTTCTCTCCTGAGATGATTCGGAAGTCGACGTTGTTGGTGGGCGGATGAGTTGTGATAGCGCAAAAAGACGTCCTTGCACTTCTATCGGGAATACGCGTCCTTGCCTGTCGATTCCAGATGCCTAGAGAGAGCAATGTTCGTGGGCTGCGCTAGAGCTAGCAGCATAAGGCTATAGTATCCATCATGTCATGTACGCCTTCTCAATGAGGTTAGAGCCGCCTGATAATGCTCGATGACCCTTGACGCGATACCTCACGGAAGTGGATGCAGTCTGGGAGCCAACATCCATGCTTCTCCTTGCAACGGATCATACGAGTGATGAACCTCTGCAACTGTGGCATATAAAGCTCTTGACTCCCCGGTGTCATGAACACCGACATCTTAGCTGCTTTCAATCTAAAGACTATGTAGTCGCTTCGGAGCATCCCCGATGGCATACTGGTTTTGGTCGTATCCAAACAGTTGTACCGTAGCCTGGTTGGCTGCCACGACTTCGCCGGCTAGGTTAGTCACGACCATAGCGTCCAAGACGCACTCGGTCAAGGCTATGACCGTCAGAGCTGACCTTTGCTCCGAAACAGCGACTTGGCTGAGGCGGCGTGCTAGGCTGATAAAACTCGCGGTGTTGTGTGATCATTACAATCGAGAGTCTCACCCGAGGCGATCAACCTCAGAGGGACTCTCTGCGTTTTCGTGAGAGTCGAAGGAGCGAGTCATTCAATGGAAGCGGGAATGAGTAACACTTCAGAAACGTCAACATGGTGAATATATTGTACCCGAAGCTCGCATTAGCTCACCACTTGCTCGAGTTGAGACCTCCACGCAATGACGCTAGGATCGAGAGTGGAGCTCCGGGAGCAGAGATATACAATATTACTGCAACAGTAGCAGTATTATACAATTGATACGACTACTTCAAAAAACTCACAACACCCTATCGGCAAACCTCTTAGCGAGATGCATGCCTGGTCAACAAGCTACTCTCTATGTTGGAGCATTCCGCATCATCAATGTGTCATCGAGCCCCGCCGATATCTGAAGTAAGGAACGCTATATAACACTCGAGGGTTCTTGCTAGGATGGAAGCAGCGCGATGTCACACAGGAGAGTCGAAACAAATGGTGAAACTCAGCCGGGAACGTGGCCGGTGAAGGCACATTCATTGCTGGCAAGATGAGGCTCATATTGCGTTTAGCCATCGACATGAATTGCTCGTAAGATATCTTCACCCCGGCTATGTCATTCTTGTCGATTCCTGAAAGAGTACGGCGTCGAGGACACTGTCTGGATCCTCTACCCAAGGAGTCAATGATTGTATTGGTTTTGGCTGCGACCTCTTTTTCGCCAACACCTGGGAAATTGGCCCTGATTTTGCAACACTCAGTGCCAGATGGAGTGATCTTGCATTGGATGTCACCTGATGATGTTCTTGAGTTCGCTGAGCTCGATGAAACCCGACTGGTCCGTATCGAACATTAGAAAGGCGAATCGTAGCTTGCTCATTTGATTGGTTCCAGTGTAATTGGACATTCCCACCTCGGAGGGCATTGATATCCAATGACCACAGACTACCATCACGCTATCTCACTATGAATTCTTTCAGTTCGAGAGTGCCACTTTTGTCGGTGTCAAACACGTCGAACATACGCTTCATAAGGAAGGAATCCTCTCGTTCCATCACCGTCAAGAATCTACGGCGCAGAGGAGCTGCCTCTAGTGACATGTTCCAGACGATAGGTCGCGTTGATGTACTCTGGGTATTCTATCCTGCCGGAGCCATCTTGGTCTACTGCCTGGAACTTCTTGTAGATTTTCTTGATATACGCCGCTGTGAGCTTCTCGCCGCCCGTAAAGTTCGCCATGATTCTACAGCACACGTGTTCGACGATGGAGAATATTATTCAGGCATACGTCCCCATGTTGCCAAGACCATTATCTCCCTTCATAGTATTCTTGGCATCTCCTGCGAGATGGCATCACACGGGATCTTCAGTGCGTATTCATTCGGCAATTGAGATTGAGGCTGCGGCTCAGTGATGGCGCACGATTAGACTCACTGATACGGGTGGAGCCTTCAATGAGTTCCCTTGGCTGTGGTTGAGGCCCTTTCCTCGCGACATCGATATTATGAGGATCTCGAGTGAAGAGTGCTCGGAAGGCAGGAAACGAAGCCTGACGTGGCCGCCGGCCAGGCCGTATACAGCATTGTGAGACGCTGAACTCTCTCACCTGGCCATCGCCATCGGGATCGCACATTGCTATCATCTCGTCTATCTCCGCGTCGCTCGCTCTTTCTCCAATAAGTGACAGAACGTGGCGGAGCTCGCTTACCCCTATCTACACTAGCGCGTCAACACCAACCCTTTCGGGCGTAGGCTCATCACATACATAGCCATTCTTGTCCAAGTCGAATGATTGGAATGCATCTCGAATGTCATCTTCGGAAAACACTTTGTGCTCAAGGGCTACCTGAGGAATTACTCGTGGTATGAGATCTGGCGATGGGTCGAGTATCGACAACAACTCATCAGTAGACAAAGCACGAGGAAAGAACTACAATTGTGGAAGACAATGCCTTGGTTCATCACCCTTGGAGGAGGTTTTCCTGGCTTGTTTACGGCAGCTATAGCTCCTGGCAGAGCGAAGTCCTGGCCGCTGGACGGATCCTTGCCAGGATTGGCCATTGAACGCAAAGACCCGAAAGCCAAGAATCGGTTAGCGTCTAGGAAGTACCGCATCGGCCAGGAGTGGAGTGAGTGGACACACTATCAATTGTCATATGACGAGTACTGGGCACACAACCGTGCTCACAGAATATAATGAAACCGAGCTAGCAATAATTTGCGAGAACGACTCGATAACGACTAGGTCTTTGAGATAGAGTAAGTTATCAGCTGTGATCACCACTGCTCCTAAGACCTGGGACGGCGCTCATACCTTAACACAGCGATTCGAGTTAGTTTTTGCTGCCTCACAAATCTCCATTACTCAGAGACGAAGCTCTGATAGACTCGATTAGAGTACTCTCGCATTTCTTCACATGACTGGAGGCTCGGCTCGCACCAATCGCCTCGCCAACCGCCATCAGAGTTCGCGCCCTCTCTATGGCGTTTAGGGAGTGGGATTATTCGTCCTACATCGTAAACTGGGTCACTTGCAAATAGCAGCTGCGATAAAGATTAGCGAAATATGGCTAGTGTGATCAGATGTGGCAGCCTTCAACTCTCCGACGTAAAAGCGTTAATCGATCATGAGCCATGTCGGCTACTTCGCCCAAGCGACCTACGATTAATGCATCGTCTAAACGTCCGCGACGCATGGGCGCGGTTCGTTAGAGTGTCTACGAACAGTAAATATTGGGTTGATCAACTCCGCAGATTTCGATTTGTGACTGGTGATTCCGGTTATCCGTAATTTTCTCTTCTAACCGTTCGGTGCTATGCTTTGGTGCCATAATCCATACCTTCCCATTGATAAAACCTCAAGTTGGCCCATATTTAAGCCGCGATATACCCTGTGTGCGTTGACCTCGGAATACAGCGCAGTGATATACAGTTGAACTTCATGAAGAACAGCTCGTAGTCGAGTTCGATCCCTGCACGGAACATCTCCGCTTATTCAGGCGAGCGCGCGGGAAAGTGCGCCGCCGCAGTCGTCGATGATGCGTACAAGTTGTCAGACTCTCATCCTTCTTGCGAGTCGGAGTATTTTGTGGTGATAATAAGTCTATCCAGCCTCCTCGTGCAGTCTGGCTGGGCTGTTCGTCGAAGTGATCCTGGATTGGTGTGGACTGGCATCGATACTCTCCTTGGGGCCTTTTGTTGTACTCTATAGACGGTAAACTATCCTTGGGGACGACCCGGAGATACTCGACTACGACCATCTAAGGTCATAGTCAAGTACTTCGATACGCTAACTAGTGACGGAGTCAAAACTTCATAGGCCTGCGAGATTTGTCTTGAAAATCTGGATGCGACTGTTGGTGTGAGTCGTTCCACAAAGTGTGGCCATTGCTACCATCAAGGATGGGTTAAGGATTTAATCCTATATCGTGCTCGTAAGTCCTCCCATAGAACTCTGCACGATACGACTTGCCCGCTATGTCGTCGCCGTTTGATTTAACGTTGCGTTTGTCTGTATCGTAGTAGTACTCAGGACTAGCAGTACCCCTCGTGACAGAGGAGTAAATAAGCTCTACCTTCTCCACAGTAGTTGAGAGTCGTCGGTGATAAAGCTCCTCGATTTGTT